TGACTCTCTTTGCTTTTATGTATGGCTGTGTACGTATGTGTTCTGCTACGTGTGCCACGGGCCTGTGTGCAATTTCATATGCTTTGTTCTCCTACCTTTGCTGCGCGTTGACTTTTTTACTTTTTATAAATTTTACAGCATTTAATATGCTCTTATTTCTAAACTTCAATACGACCCCAAATGATCTTACATTCAAATATATACATATATATACATATACGTTAAAGCCCTTTATCATAGACGGTTTCGGTTCAAATAAAATACAGAAATAATGTATCGAAATTCACAACAGAAAATTATACCACAGTAACAAAATGATATTTTCGTTCGGTGCAGCACAATATAATATTTTTTTCATAGCAACACCAAATACGGCAAAACAATTATTGTAACAATTATGAGTATTTTATGACAATAAAAGTGACTGAATCTTTGAAAACTGATATGAAGATAGATTGAAAAATATTATGAATCTCGACTGATATGAAGAGAGGTTGAAAATTATTACGAATCTCGTGTTATTTTAAAATTAAGCGATTAGAAAATAATATTTCAAACAACCGTAATACTCAATAAACAAATTTTAAGAGTCTTCAAATTCTTACTTCCACTATAATATACATGAGGTAGAAGGTTTAGAAGATTACAAATGAATGTATTAAATGCTGTAGGCAAAACCACCCCAACAAATGTCTTGCTAGCAAAATCAAAACTGCCTGCCATTAAAGAGCGTCAGATTCATATGCAATTCGTTCTTAGCTAAAATCTTCAACAATAAAAATCATCAGTTCACCAAAATGGCAAGCAATACTATACGACCAAAAACTAGATAAAAACACTAAAATTAATCCGGAGGTTCTGGCAAATCTTAATATATCATTAACAGATTTTAAAAAATACAAAAAAATTAAGAACCTAAAAATGAAAGCAATGTCAATGAAAGCAAATGTCACTTCTAATTTTATTACAAAGAATCTTCTCATACGTGGTTTTATAAGTTGAACTTTTTCAGAAAACTTATTGTTACGATCAACCGCTGTCGCATAGATCATCACTACAATCTGACTGCATATTTGGCTAGAGTGAACTTATTGTTAATCACGCATAAAAAATTCACTTATCAATGTTATTCCTGGAACTTAGATCATGTTGTACGGCAATCTCTTTTAAATAGTCAACGCATTTTAAGCGATTTCCAAAATGTTACAATTAGGCTTGATCTACCAATGAAAATGTTTTTGGAATACTAGCTGAATTAAATATACTGGCATGCAAGTGTTGAATTCCTCGATAAATGTAAAATCACTAATTCATGAGATCGAATGAATGGCTAATTGTAAATTTGGAACTGATTTTTGGAATGCATAAGTGTAAAGATAATAAAGTACGAATTAAGTTAAGTGGTCAGGTAAAATATATTAGAGATTGTTGATTTGAGATACCGTAAGATTTATGCAGCCGATAAAGTTGATGGGAAAATGGTAACTGATGCATCGGCGCAGCGGTACTCAAGTTCTTATAAAAGTTTATATCTCGGTGAGTCGATGAACGTTTGGTAAAACTACAGCAACCAAAAACTGTAGAGTTAGAGTTTTGTTTATTGCAACTAATCATTATGGTTGTCTCAGTTTACAACCTTCAGTAGAATCCTCACTGCTATATGTATTATTCCATAACTAGTTAATATAAACATATTTGTAATTAATTGCAAATAATGAACCGAACTACAAAATTCGTAGACGCCTATTGAAACCGAAAACAAAGAAAGAAAAGAAGTTAGAGTTTTGAAAATGAGTTGCTGATGAATACTTGTCACAGGGAAAAACTTTACTTTACAAGGCAAGTGGGCACCTCATTAAATCACCATCGCCTCCCTTCTCTAATTGGTACATCTAGATTGAGTTTGTAAAACTTTTCTCTTTTTCTGACTGAGAAACGGAGCGTACGGTCTGCTTCTCCCCTCCTGTTCTTTTTCATTGAAGCGTAGCTAGTTCTCTCGTCATGTTGATTATTGGAATCGTATCGTATACGAAGTTGTGCTAATTGTGCTATTGTAGTTGAACATAGTAAAAATTGAGCGGAAGTAGAAAACGAATGATCAAGATAACTCGTTTAAAAGTATGTAGCCAGTTTACCTCTATCGACTCGACGTGGTCTCACTTGCAACAGTCATACCACAAACCTCTTAATTTTTTTACTGAAACAATGAATATTGTGCCTTTCGAGATAAGAATTGAAATTAGTCGACTATGATTGTTAGAGAAAGAATACGAGAGCCCAGACTTGAGATAAAATGCAAATGAAGCTAAAAACGAAGATGGAAGAGAAGAGGAGAAATAGGTGAACAGAACTCCGCGTGGCTATTCAGTACACTGGCAAGCTTTATATTTTTTGCGCTCGCTTCGTAATCAGCGCAGATTCAAATCTGTCCAAGAAAAGAGCTTCGTGAGGGTTAGTGCTCGGGAGAGGAGAAAAGCAATTTGGGCTCCAACAATTGCTAGGCTATTCGACAAGAGATATATACTTGAGACAATTGCAGCAGCAACATATCTTTTATTACTTTCACAAAAAAAATCAATGTAATAAAGAAGTGGCAATTTGTAATAAGGTGTTGAGCTTCGAATGGGCGATAAAGACATCGATTATTCCGTCAAACTGCTACTACGTTGTTGGTAATGATTAGGCTTAGATTACTGGAAACTGTCCTAATAATATTAACATTCGCTTTAGATAGTGGCGTACGCGAAGGTGTTGGCCAATTGACGGGGAGACGGCTTAAATGTGAAATGTGCATTTATCATGACTGATTAGGATGCACCTCACCGTATTTATCGCTACATATGTAAGCATTGTTTAGCCTTGCAATGATCAATACGATAATAATGCTATGTCTAATGTGAGCGCTGCTATTCGGACCAGTGTTAATGTAATCGTAACTCTATAATTTGGCTTTTGCGTCATGCTCATCGTGCAGCTTTTTTGGATGTTTTCCTTTGCCATGAAGTCAAGCCGCAGTGAAAACTTGATCGAAAATCTGGTGGAGTAAACTAGTGTTAAGTTTAAATGATGGACAATATTATTACAATGTGGAGTTGGCTTTATTTCTTAACGATAACAGGTGAAGAGCACAATCTAATCTTTTTAAGAACAAGGGGAACCGCTGATCGCACCGGCTCTAAAATCCGTATCCTTGAAGAAAGAGGGTGGGTGTTTCCAGTTACTCGGTTGAAGTCGAGTCACAGAAGTCGTCATAGGCCTGAAGATCCTGTATCTTGAAGTATCTCAAGGGTTGGAGGCTCCTTGGTTGAAGCAGCTCGAACAACTGGCCTGGAAAGCCTAATGCACTGCCTTTTAAAGTCAGATTTAGACGATGAGAGCGCTCACCCCCACGAAGTCCCTTACAAGTTGACAAACATTCAACTTTCTGTTAGTACCTATGCGGATATTCCAAAAACAACATAAGGCAAAATTCAACTGATGCCGACATCCACATTCCTCAAAGTAAAAATTCGATTTATTTGACTCGAGTAAAACAGCTGCTGATAAATTGATTTAATTGTCAAAGGCTACACGAAGAGAAAGTTTTATGGCTGCTTGAAACAGTTGCGGAAATAATGTAGCTGCTACATAAGCGCGGCATCAAATCATTATTATGCACGTCACATGTATAAAGTTGAGCGCAACAATCTTTCATATTTTACCTTGGCAGCTAAGCCATATAAATGTACGCAGATCGATAATATGTATTGGATAGCAAATGTAATTATTGCTACTCAACTAAAACCTTGCTACTTGATTATTTACCTATATTCCCTTCTTGCATTATCTCTTTCTCTCTCGGTCGGCTGAAGTTAGAATGTAATCGTATATGGCGTATGGCGAACGGCCTGGTATTTCGGATTCCCACATTACGCAGCTTGATTATTAAGGTGATAATACCAGATACTAGTTATATCAGCGATTTACTATATCGTACCTCTCTTCGCAACAATATTATAACTTAAGTTATTTACGCCAGCTTTGAATATGATTGTTTTCCATGAATTAATATTGAACTGCCAATTTTTTCAATGAGCACACTCTTATCAAAATAACAATGGTAAACTTACAATTTACAGCGCTTTTAAGTTTTTAGCTTTATTTACGCTATTATTAAATAGTGCTCGGGAAATGGTGATTTTGCCAAAGACAAACTTGTAGAGATTCTTCTTTGCATTTTCTTGTCAATAATCAAATTTTCTGAAATCCCTTCAATATGCTGGTCAATTTGTACATTTTACAGAATTTCAACACATGAAAAGGAATAAAATATATTTTATAATTACAGTTGTATTATATGACTAGTGATCACTGAGTAATTAAACCTCTCTCTAGTAATTTCAGAATCAATCAATATCAATTACGTCTCTCCGGATATCGTATTTCCTGCACTGAAAATACGAATCTTCCATACACTAACCTGCTAGACAACTCTCGTTGATTTCTGAATCGATTGAGAAATTAACAATGAAAGCGGTTAAAAAATATTATAGAAAATATGTAAATTTTGTACATTACCTTGATTGATACACGGTTCTTCAATAGATAATCTCGCGGTAATCGAGTCAAGCAATAATGAATTATTAAAAAAAACGATAGGGTGACGATTCTACTCGATTTTTATTTGATAATATAGATTAAATACGTTAGAATTAGATTAAAAACGTTAAAATTGTTCTCGGGAAGATTGTTAGAAATGAAAAAGCAATTAGAGAAATCCGCTCGTTTGTTCCTTTTCAATATTTCTTTGAATTTCTTCACGAAAAAAGTTACTTCATTCTTTTTCAAAAAATCATTGATTATAAGATCAAATTCAAGTTGAAAAGTTAATAAATATTGTTTACTGGAATTGATAGATGGACTGAAAAGAATGATACATTAGAATAGCAAGGAGTAAACAAATAAGCGACAAATGGAATTATTACTTTTAATACGTTGTCTATTTTTTTTCTCTTTTTTTATTTAGACAGTAGAGCCTTGGATGCTGCACAACCAAGTAATTACAAAATTTATATAAAAACCTCTTTTTTTTATACATGGAGATAAGTGTTGCCCCAACGATTAGACAACGAAGAAAGTTGTTCAATGTTTTTGATCTCGTCACTTTTTTACGTAAAACGGACATGTGCTGTATCAGACCAATGTTATATAGTATATTTTTGTACATAGTTATCATATTTTGTGTGAAATACTATTTTAAAACATGACATTCAAGTGATACAGTATAGACGAAAAATGGTATTTTAATCTCAATAAATGTAGAAATAAAGAGTAGCGAAGTTACGTGACTCTTAATTTGTTCTCCTTTGAATCAATGTTACATTTACATTTTCAGATACGTCAATTGTTCATATACATTAATTTTTCGTCTTCACATGCTATTCCAATAATTTTATTTGATTTAATGTTCTGAATTCCCATGGCTTCAGTAGCAGCAAAGTGTTTGTGTCCAAAAGAACAAAAAACATAGTAAAAGATATTTATCATTTTCCGTAACAAATCAGACTTGTTGGTGAGTTGTTCTCTTTTTGGGATCTGAGATATGATTATTAGAAGTAATTCTGACGATAATCGATGATTATTTGTATTTGTATTTATCATTTATGCAGGATTTGTTTCATACAAATATCGATTCTACGTAATTAGAATCAATATAAATTTTTTAATTTCATTTATATAACGTAATATTTTTTTATTGAACACAAAAGAAATAGCATTTTCTAAAAAAAATTAAATACTATTTGATATTATATCGTTCTACAGAAAAATTAAGAGCAAAATTCTGCACGACATAATCGTACGCTAGATAATTTTCTAATAATGTACAGAACCTTAAGCAAATAATTATTCTAAATATTAATTTATTTCTGTAGAAATATTTTATTAAAATAATTTAAAACCACTATTTTCAAACGAATTTTCTGCAGAAAGTATGCATATTCAATAATATCTTCTTTCTTTTCTAATGCATACTATTTTATATTTCCTGTTCAAATAACAAAAGCATAATATTAAATAAACAGAATTTTTTAATTCGTGTAGAACTTAAGCCTGCAGAATTGATATCTGTACCAAATGAATCCGACAATTATTTACATAATTATTATATACACAGAAACTGTATAAATCTTCCTTTGTTCATTTAAAATAAATTACAATAGTTTTGAAAAATATATTAAATTTTACTTAACGTATTGAAACTGTCAATTTAAATAAAAGTCAATGTAATAAATAAAAAGAACCCTAGTGTTCCTTACTATATTTTTTACAATATCGTTGTAATTTTAGAATTATGAAAAAATATGAAACTCTTTTCGAGCTGTTCTAGAGAGTTGTAGTAGACTATGTCGATATATTAAATTTACCTTTCTCATATTAATAATAAACAAAACAATCCAACAAATGTCTGTGAATTTATTTTATATATTTACAATTGGTTTTATTAAATAATATACCTTAATTTTTCTATAACGATTATTACCGGTTGATCCTCAACATAGTTGATTTCTTTCGAATTTATTTCCGCGTTGAGCTAATAAATTATTTATCATAATAATCTATTATGAATATAAAGATCATACACATTTTCTCTTAGTAATTAGGTAGAATACACTTTGCAATGAGCAAAATTCCACTAAATTAAAAACTCTAGTTTTAATACCACATCTCTTTTATCATATATACAGAAGACTCAATTAAAACAATTTTATGATCATTGGTAACTTATTTCATATTCATTTCTTAGAAAATTTCGTTGTAAACATTTATACATCTAATGTTGTAATGAAATTGGAATAGACAAAATAAAATCTAATCATTTTCAATTATTTCTAACTACTTACATATTAACAATATTAAAAACTATCAAATTCAAATAACAACAGTTTAACCCGAGACATTCGAATCCAAACTAAAATTTGGCATTGTCTCAATACTAAAGACTGGAGCTTCCGAATGGTTTAGCTACTTGAGTTTGAGAGTTTAAAAGACATTTTACAGTCCTTAATTTTATATTGAACTTTCAAATCTTGCTTACTTTTTGGAATGTTTAAACTATTCAAATAATTTTACTTTTCTTGCTAACTGAAAATTCGATATGAAATAATTTCAAAAAATCAAGAATAGCTCGAAAAGCTCGAGTTGACACGAAAGTCGAAGGGTTGAGACGGTCCTAGAACTCTAAGGCTCGAACAAAAACAGAGCTCAAACCTCGATAATTTCTAGTAGCTCGAGCTTTTCTCAAATCCTGAAAATTATATAAATACTAAGAATGAAAGAATCTTTGTTAATGTTCAAATTATTAAAAATCAAATGTAATATATTGTAAAATATATTTTGTAAGCTACGTAAATAATTCCGTTGTAATTGTACCCTGTTTTTTTGGCAATCATTGCATTGCACGCGCACTTCAATTGATATTGCAATCTTTTTTTTTTATAATAAAAATTATGAAAATAATTTAGAAGACTATTGAGTCTTTCTAAGCTTCATCTCTAAAAACTATAAAAATTTAAATAATAAAAGCGCTCCGGACAGTAAGCTTCTGTGACTGAAATAGTAGACCCTAAAATTCTTGGAATTATATAATTTATATTATTTGACGTGGTACTTTCAGGTATTCATGGTATACGAAGCAAGCGATTAATTTTGATTAATAAAGAATATCGCGATGGAAAAGAACGAAAGTATGACGAATATGTATATATAACAAATGAATCTTTTGACGATTTAATATGAGTAAGAGCTATGTACATAGTGTGGCTAACAAAAAAATCCACTGAACGGAAATTCCAAATGAAAGAGAACGAGAGGCACGAGGCTCAGATGTCCTCTTTGGTCCGGTTGAGCAGGTAGTCGAGGTCGTGTGATATGCGATCGAGCATGCCGCTAGTGCTGAGAGTGGCGTCGTTCGGATCTTCGGTTTCGAGTTCCAATTGCCTAAGAACATCTTCGCCATCGGGTTGCTTGCGTTCCATTGTATTGGCAATGTCGGGCGCCACAAGCAACACTCCAGGCTTTTTCAGCAATAAGCTCTCCGCCTCGACTGTGGCCAATGGCTGCTGATGTTGTTGCTGCTGCTGGGGCTGCTGTTGAACCGCTAGAGTTACGTCCGGCATCGTCAAGCACACTTCTATTTGGTCAGCGCATAAAATTGTCGTTGCCGTCGGGCATTCACCTCGTCGTGGCTCTTGCAGGTTCGTCAGGCTTACCAGTTCTTTATATGGCTCCTGTGAACAAACAAAATTAAAGAACTACAGAGTTAAGAGATTAACGGTGGCTGACCTTATCGTAATCAGTTCTTTGTTTCGATATCTAGAGGCATTGCTGTGTTCCGATTCAGTAGACCACAACCTTCTATAGTGCATCAAATTATACGTTTGTTTACTGAAAAAAAGTTAATTGAATCAATCGCGATTTGACTGATTCAGCAAAACAGAGAAATTGCTTCATTAACTTCATGTCGTCATTTCAATGAAAATTCCCACTGACTAAATAAAGTATGTAGAATGTATAAATTTTAGGATTCAATGAATGAATCAGACAGCTGTTATAATAAAATATCACATTCATTTTATGAAATATTTCTTAAAAATAAGATAATTTTCATTAAAAACAGTTAAATATATGACTGCACCAATAAATTACGTATTTTTATCTGAAAAACGTACGAATTGATTTGATTTAACCGTTTAATGGATTGTATACACCTAAATTAAAGCATTGAATCGATTGTGTTTTTACTGACTCAATTAACTTTTTTTCTAAGGCTTCAAATAACCTGGAATGTTGAAAAATGTGTGTATTCTCTAAAATGGCACGAAGAAAATATAGGTGAATTTAATACGGGACAGTCATGCGCACATCACTGTAACTTTTGATTGGTAATAGGTTTGCTATCGGCTGGAAGATCATTCTAAAGCTTATGAAAGCAAATTGAAAATTATTTTAAATTAATCAATCGTATAATTAATTGAAATCAACATTTCTACTTTGCTCAATAATATATCTAAACGTAATTTTGGTTACCGGTAAGTTTTTTTGCGCATAAAAATTAAAAAACCTAAACGTTCAGAAAATTATTGCAAAGTTTACTCTCAAAATTCATGATCGATAAATGAATTTTGGGTATAGTTATATTTTGGAGTAATCTAACAAAAAAATTTAATTAAACGGTAGCCGCTTTAATTTCTGACGAGATGTCTTATCAAGGAATAAAATAACATTAGCCTATGAGAAAACAGCAAAATGAAAAGTCGAGGGGGCAAGAGGTATTAGACATGTTTTTGCCTAACCTTAGCTTTTTGAGTCGATAATATGAGGATCATTGAAGAAAATCGAAAGTTCAGCTTTTGCAGCGTCGAGTAATTTATTTTATTTGAAGCCACTTCGCCATAACGAGGTCTGTTATACTTGTTGCGCGAATAACAATCTCATCCATGCTTTTTCCCAAGGCTCATTACACTTCTGTCATATGAATCATTTATAGGATGTGTTGCGAGGTGGTAACGATGACATTTCATTCCATTACGATTACGAGGACAATAACTTGTAACACTTTAAATTGGACGAAGCTCGGTAAATCATCGACTGGCCAGGGTCGCGGATGCATTTTATCTCAGTGACTGTCCATTATCGGATTTTTCAGATTTTTGTTCTCTCTTAGTCGCCGTGTGTACAGCGATAGAAAGGTTGCTATTGATGCGTTTAAGCAGTATTTTCTCCGCGCCCGTCTTTCAAACTAAATTGTAGAGGTATCAAAGTTTGTCAAAGCAATTTGTCAATGGTAAGAGTAGTGCACATACAACACAAAATTAACTGCACATGACAACAATGAGGCAGAGAAGAACAGAACATTATGTATACGTACAAGCCGGCCTTTTCCCTATCACATTTGTATCAATATCCGTTTGACGAAGAAATTTAAAGAAAATAAGCTTTGCAACACCCATTCAGTCATTCCCGTGTGTATACGCGCGCTTGTGTGCGAGCGGCCAATCTTACTAAAATATTTAAGCTTATTTCAGTAAGCCAGCCCTTTGCAGATAAAAGCCAATTTGTATCTATATACAGTACATGCTATGCGACTACGCGGCTGTTACTTTTATATGCTTAGGTAAGCGCTTTTTGAGGGTAGTGATTCAGCGTATTCGTAGTTTATTCGCAAACATGTCCTTAATAACCGAGTGAAAATTAAAGTAAGATCCTCTGTTTAATAGGCATAGTTAGAAACCATAGGGGAAGCATAGTTTAATTGTTAAGTCAAGATTGTTATGACGGCCGCAACTCGCGCGTAGCTTTACACGAGCTACGCCCCGCAAACTTGGCGACATTTGTCTTCGAGGTGTGCTGTACTCGTATTGAATGATCGACCAAGCGCGTGCTGAAAATTCGATGAACACATTTGCTATACTCGCGGAAAAAATGCGATGGACAGGAACGGTCACGCGTGGATAATTTAGCAGGGGCAAATGTTCAGAACACGTGATCGCGGATGAGACTTACCGCGTGTTCGGTGAGGTTGGCGAAGCTGACTGGCGGCGGCGCTGGCGACTGCGGTTCGTACCTTAGCTGCGTCTGTCTCGCGGCTTGCTGGTAATTCTCAAGATTAATGTCGTCGACGTGGTGCACGTGAATCTCCGGGAGCAAGGCTCTCGATGCGGCCACGTACGCGCCCGCTGCCGCCTCGTTCACATAGTCGCGCGCGTCGATTCCGACTGCCACGCCTCTCACCTCCGGGTACATGCCACATGACACTGTGCGCGTACCTGCCACTGGCGCCGCCGATGATGACGATGACAGTTCTTTCTCCAGCTCTCTGTCTGTATTTTGATTGTTTCATAGACAATGCCCTTCTCATTTTCATTGGTTTCTATGCGCTAATGCTGCACTTCTGGCCGAATTTGCCTGTGCATACAAAATCTCGCTCATCGTCAAATGCTGCGGGATTTTATTGTACATTTTTTTCCTGCATTATTTGTACTGTACAACGGCTCACTCCAATCATCAGCATCATCGATCTAACTTCAATGAGTTTTAATTTTCTATCCAATTGTATCAATCACTACTTGAAATGAAAAACCACGATCAACTGAAGATCATTATGATGTTGCCGTATTGTTGTACTACATTCATTGTATTTTTTCCATTATTTTTCTTCCGTTTACTTGTTGCTCGAAATTTCAAGCGAATGCAATTAAAACGCGTGGTATCAATTAAAAATAATAATTGACTGTTATTTATCACTTTGGATAAATTACAACTCATCTTAAAAAAGAGCCAGATAAATTCGAGTTTTGCTAGGTAATTAATCAATGTAAAGCAAATAAATAAAATTAATCTGGAACAATTTAGCAAAGGAAATGCAATCCACAACTACAATTTATCAGAGGATATACGTGTATAGTAGATTTGCAAAAAATATTTTTCCGACAGATGCAAACAAAGGCACCGCTAAAATTTAATGCATGTATGCCTACCTTTTGTCTGCTCCGAGGCACATTCGTCGTCAGATTCAGATTGACGTTTGAATTTGTGAAGAACAGGGGCGACTACCAGTACTTCCCCGCTCATGACGTACATAGCTAAAATTAAAAAACCCTAGAACAAAAATAGCGTCGTAATTTTTCCACTTATCTTCGTGCTTGATATAGACGGAAAACATTTTAACAACTGTTGTCGTTAAAGCTTTACGAAGTAACGCACCAAACTAATAAAAAGTTCAAGGTTTAGTTACAATTTATTTTATCTAAGCTTATTTACGTGTTTCGCTTACGCATGAGTTCTACCAGAAAAAGCCGTTGTGAATATCAATTCTAAACGTACGCGCAGTTTTGATTTACAAATTCTATCAAAATATAAATTTTTCTATTCTGTTAAAACTAAAACATTTGTCACTTTATCTTGAGAGTCCTCTAACTCCAACATCATTACAAACGCCTTTATTCATGAATAACATTGTATATGATTGGCAGTTACACCGTTATACATCGATTGACGTATGCTTCACGAATGCCTTAGCGACATTTTCATCTAAAATTTAGTAAAAATTTAGTAAAAATCCGTAGAGAGAACTGGCAATGTTCATCTTAATATCTGATGGTATGCTAAATTAAGTAGTTCAATCTAATTGGAAAACAATTTTTTACAACCAAAAATTAAATTTATTTCTAACTCTATGTGAGGTTTTTTGATATCATATACAATTAATAATCGAGAAAAAAAAAATGACGAAAAAATCAAGTTTTCTTTGATGGCAAATTTGTTTTGACATATTGTTTCCAATAAGTAAATTCCACATCCCTTTTTCGGACAATATGTCCGAAAAAAATAAGAGCGTAAACGTGAAACCTTTCCGTTGAAGATGGAAAGGCGTAATTTCGAATTTTGTCGTATGCTATAAGAACGATAAAAGGGCTTACTTACCAAGAGGGCCGCCTGGAATGCGAAGAGGTATCGATAAATAATCGACGCCGAGTTGACATAAAAGATCGATGACACCTCCATTGCAACTATGCCGAAAATGACGATCGCCGAGCGATGAAGCATTCTTATTCTGTCAGTATATACAAGTGAGGATAAATGTTCTGCACTGGTGAACCTTAACAAACGGTGATTATAAATCTAATACAAAAATGACGAAAGGCATAAAGTTGATAGGTTAAGTAGGTCTGTTAGAAATTTTAGAAAGCAAGAATAAGTGACTGACTCAGCACTTTCTTCAAGTAATAAAATTAGAAATGTTAAATGTAAGAAGCTCTCGAGTATGCGGAGAAAAAGTTACTGAGATCGTTATCCTGCCGCGGTGTGAGTGCAGCCTTCTTACAAATAACACTACGATTCTGTAGATAAAGTTTAGCTGACCTTTGCTGAATGACGTCCTTCTTAGTGAATTTATACAGTAAAGGCCTAGTCTTGTGAATAACGGCTATGTACAGTAGCAAAAATGTGACGAGCATTGTTATCGAACATGTGACGAAAATGTTGTATACCCCGGTGTCATAGAGCAGCCACCAGGACTCGTGTTTCCAACCGACGGTCTTCCTCGTTAACTCCGTCGCGAGTATCGCCAAAATTGGAACTCCTGTTTACCACACAGAGACAATGAGTGTCATTCCATTGAGTTAAGTTTTCTGGCGTACAAATTATTCAACACTTCGTTACTGCAAAATTTATTGCTCTTTAAATTACAATCGCATTAACCCTTCCAAACGCATCCATTCGATCTTACAATTATTCACGTGGCTGTAAACGTAAAATCATCCATCTGACAGTTGACATTACTACGACTGACTTTGCGAGAGTAAGACAAGTAATTACGAGATTACCTGTTATAACGGCTACTACAGTCGGTTGGAGCTGCTGACTTGGATAGACGTTTGACAGCTCGGCGTAGATAATGAGCGCTTGCGAAATGGGTGAAGATGTGCCGATAAGCAGAAAAGCTTCCAAGCACATCGCTACCATTGTCAGGTTGTCCTATCAATAGATAGAGTCAATCACGCTTCGCAAATCACAATTCAATTTGAGCGAGAATTTCACTTAAAATTCAATTTTTGAAACTTCAACTATAATCACTTTCAACTCAAAAACTTTGATATTTCATTCTACGTTCAAACAAACTTTATTTCCACTAAAAACTCTTATAGGATGCATAAAATGACAGCAAGTTCAAAGAAAAACAATTGAAAAAGAAAATGGATATCGAACGTAAAACTACCTCTGGTATTTCAGAGTGTATTGCGTAAATGAATGTCGACATGGCAGCGATGACGGCAACACTGCACTGTATTTTTAAGAAATTTAGCCACGTCCGGTTCCTCCACCAAAATGCGGTTAATATTAGCATCGAAACCAAGCTTTGCAATAGACAGCTGCCGCAACCTAGTATCACCACGAAATTTGTTTGATCTTTTGTCGCGAAAACAATCTGTAAAATAAATTATTCAAATGAAAAAGGAGACAAAACAACATATCATGCAAAATATTGATCTTATTCGTTGATTAATTGATGGGCCTTCATCGGGTTTCTCGTTTTATTAATGCAAGATCATTTCATGATCCGCCAAATGGTCAGCTCTAACGGGAATTTGATCATAAGTTAATCAATGAAGTTTCAAGATAAATGCCAGAATTTAATACATCAGTGTTTAACGGTTATTTGCATATCAAACATTTACTCAGCTACAATTTTAATTTTCAACTAATTTCTCTTGAGCCGTAGTAAATCTCGTTGATTGCATACCACTTTCAACATATGCTTCTATAAATCGAAATATCTCACATATAAATATTTATGATACACTATTCACAAAGTTGATTAAAATGTAATATGAAAAATGGAATTGACGCTAACACTATACAATTAGCAAAACCTGTGATCCCGTACGCTTATCGATTCGCCGAAAAAACTTAATCAACCAGAATACTAACAGCATTTATAGCTTAAAAAGTAAATAATTAAAATGATTGCAATTTGAGTAAAACCAATAAATAGACCTTTATATAAATCTCGAGTTCCAATTTCATCACGTGCTAGAAAAATATCCCAGGGATTTCGAAGGATTTGGCGAAAACTTCCAATCAAGTAAAGTCACAAAGGTACCTCGGTAAAAATAAAGTTAATCTACAAAACCAAAGCAGCCATTGCCAGTTGACGAGAACCCGTAAAAGGACATCCCTTACTCTGGTGAAAATCGAAAGCCTGTGCGTAAGCTGAAAGGACAACGCATTGCTGTGGTAATTTGATATACCCATCTACAGCGCGGCGTAGCTGTCTGCGAGTTTTTCGAATTTCAGAAGTGCTTTATATCGTGCCGCTGTGGAATAAATTTTTATATATCTCCGTATGTACGCTTGTTCTCTCTCTCCCTCTCTCTCACGCTCTCTGGCAACTTTATTCAACCTGTCTTCTTTTTTTAACTCTTCAACTAAAGAAAAGTGAGGTATAATAATTTTTATGTTTTATGAACAAATCGGATCATGTTTTTTAATTCTTTTTTACTTTCATCTGCTTTTATAGAGATTTATTTGTTTCAGATTCTTTGAAAAAGAATATGGCACAGAGCTTTTCCTCAATCACCTTTTCCTGTCGTGTATTTGTTCGTACTTTACAATATAACAATCTGAAATATTTGTATTTTTAACAAAATGATCGCCTGTTCTTTATTTAATAATAAATTACTCGTGATGGATATATTGTATGGCAGAAATTATTATGAAATTATTTGAAATTATTTGAAATTAATTTTTTTATTAATTTAGAGTTGAAATAAGCAATCAATTAATCAAATTAGATGAATCTTGTGTAAAACTCAACAAATTTATACGATGTACGTGCACCAAACTTTGACATACCTCATTTATATAGCTCGTTATCAAGGAATGCCGTAGTCAGTAAAAACAATTATTTATCAGCATTTGTCGTCTGAGTGCAAAGAAATTTCAACTTGAAAATAACGCACAGTATGAATTCGAACTTTTGGAAATATGCCATATCAGTAAGGTGATTTCTTGCACGTACAAATGAAAGTCCGTAAGTTGAATAAGAAGCAATGTTAGAAACTGACCTTTTCCGCGCGAGTTGTGAGGAAGGCAGCGAACGTGCCAGGATTATTGCAGTGACAATGCAGGGTCGCACTGTCGGCGAGTAGTCCAGGCTCTTGTAGGCTGCAACTGTCCAGATTCCAGTCACCTTCGAAGTCCAAAACACCGCACGATGCGTTCCAGGCTCGCGAATGGTTTCGCGCATCGGCGAACTCCAATTCAATGGAGAAACGATCGTCTCGCTCGATACCACGATACGATGTTGTGACGCTTACCACGCGTGAACTTATCCGGTACTCCATATCTGTACCATCGCTGTAATGATTTTTTTATATTTGTTAGTTGCTCGTGTTACAAAGTTAATCTAATCAATTATACATGTAGAATGTCAATTTTATTTTACTATTTATCAAGAGTTAATTTTACAACGATAGCAAATTATTACATTCTGCTTCGTAAAAGTTCACAAAATTAAATTATTTCTCAACCCAATCACACTTTAGTGATAATTCATATACTCACTTCAATTCCATTACATATGTATCTGGAAAAAATTTAGCTAAATTTCGATAAACAACGACGATTCCAAATATTGTATTGTTGATATTGTGCAATCTATGTAATCTACTGTGATACAATCGAATCGTCACCCTTTCGTTATACCAGTCGGGATATTTACTGAAAAATAATGAAACATTTGTCTTAAATATGTATTATTTCATTTCGTTTTATAGGTTGTACTGAAAATCTTTCAATGAAAAGAAAAACGAACTACTGCAATAAAATATAACAATGAAAACAATTCGTATAAGTAATGTTTTATCATTTTTGAATAAGGCTAAAATAAAATAATAAAATAAGACCATCATGGATGATTTTTAAATTATAAAACTGATGTAAAATTGTTACCTACTTTTGATTGTCTTGCGGTATTTTTAAACTGTACATGATAGTGGAACTAGAATATACTTTCATTGGAAAAACATCAACAACGACTTCAGAAAGTGATAAGTGTTTGTTACTTTCTCCTTCATCTTGACTCCAATAACCAAGATTCCGAATAAGTAGTTGACTCAACAATACCAGTTTCTGAAAAGGACAATTATTAAAGACAACATCTGCACAAAAATTAAAGATAAATAAGCCAGCAATTAACCTGCTGACTAAGAATGGAATAGTCATAAGCGAGAATTTTATCAATGATCCTCATCACAGCCTCGGCCGAGTTTTTCAGTTGGTCCAGCTCGTCGACATTGTATTGGTAGTGCTCGACTTCCTGCAGCAAACTGAGTATACGATCGCCCTCGCCCGGATACAGGCGCGTTCGACGATATTGCAGCAAATCCCAAAATGTCTGTATCGTCGATGAGGCGTTTGTAATCTCGTATCCCATTGTTAAACTCTTGAACTGAAATTTTCCGCAATAAAATCGCGAGATTTACTTCTTCATCGATAGTAGAATGTAGGAAATTGGAAATTCTGAGGATGGTTTGCTACTATCAGAATTTCAAAGATAAAAAGAAGTAAAGCGCAGCACGGCTTTATCTAGTGGAATTCGGTAAAGCGGTACGATGCAAAATGCATTGAGGAAATTTTTCGCGAGCTAATCCAAACAAAATAAGAAGAGTGTGATTGAAAATAAGATTGCTAGCATAATGGTCCTCGACTGAACACGCTAAGCAAACGCAGCCACGTAAAGGAATTCTAATGACGCAGGCTCGCAACGAAGCGCGTTCGAAAAGCTGCTTGACACGTGCAATGTCGAGCTCTTACCTCGTTGTACGGATGAACAAGCGGCTCATAAATGCAGTTGGAAAAATCAGCAATCTCCCATTCGGAAGTTTGCGCATCCCTCATAGTACACTGTCGAGAAGCATGCCGGCCAATCGAACCCTGAGGACAAGGCAATAAACATCTGGAACCTGGTGCTGTTTCAGGCCATTCCAAGCCCCAATCGTCCCGCCGACTCAAGCACAATGGTATAAGTGTGCGATTCACTACATCCACGTGGGCCGAAGCCGAACGTTGAGCTACGTTGCACGTATACACGGCCGACTTTTGGGCGTTGCTGATCGTCAATAGGCTGCCCGCTGGATAAAGATCTTCCCAAACTTCTTGACCGGGCGCGAGGCGCAGCAGCGCACGATTCTTTGACCAGCCGAAACCGATGCCTACGTCTCGCATATTCGGTGTGGTGCACATCAATCGCAAAGTGCTTCCCTGTGGACAGATTAATGCATTTTGAAATATCTCATTTTCAATGGCGAATTGTTGAAATGCGAATGGACTATGAGAAATGGTTATTGACGAGTCGGCAAAATACGTTTATGTACGTATATGTATACTACACACATACCAGAAATGCGCGCGTCGTAAGAGCCATTTCAGCGGATTCGCAATGCGCTAAACGACTCGCAATTGCCATTCGCGCAATTTTTTGTTGCCGCGCGCTCTCAACACGCTCGTATAGATTTAGCGGGCTAATCTTATTCGAATAGTACACGGAGATATATGGCCAACAGAGAGTGAAGATAACGGCTTAGGTATAAGTACGGCTTTTGAACTGTCAACCTACAGAAATATAAATAGCTTTTTGCCGTCTTTCTCTCACCACTTTCGTATATATATATATATATATATATATATATATATATATGTACATAACTGAAATTGAAGTTTACGTCAAGGCTCTGGAAGTTAAAGGCTTTTTTCCTTAATTCAAATAGTCTGACCGTAAGCGCTTTTCTTGCTAGGAAAAGATATTTTCCGATTCCGTTCATACGTGAAAAGAGCTTTGAAGAGTTGACTCTGAAAGCCTTTTCTCAAATTTCCATATGTACGATGCTTTAGAAAGATTGACGATTTCATGTTTCCTAATGTAACATCTCATTTGAATCAATGAATAGTCATTCGAATAAATATCATTCGTCAAAATAACAGATGACATTGATATTTACGATGAAAATTAATTTTGACTACTGCGTCTATTATTGAAATGACATCTCACGGATAAATTAATATTCACAAAATTAAATAGCATACTTTCTCAATAGTACTGCTCATTGGCATGACTTTGACGTTGGGGTCGTCCCTGATGTTGATGTGTACATCCTTACACTGCTGCACGCCCCAATCGACGACCTGACAGGTGAACACGCCCTCGTCAAACAGCGTGGCCTTATCCACCGTTAATATCGAGGTGTGATAGTCGGAGCCGTCGTTCGGCAGGTGTCTGTACCAAATTTTTCTGAATATGGAATAAGATTGATGCTTAAGTGATATGTTTCAAGAAATTGATTTTCATGTCCCAATCATGGTGACTTGATAATGGCAGATTCTTTTATGAGGAAAAAGTAATAATTGTGAGAGAGAAAATGGTGGTTTCATTCTGTATTATTCTGAAAGCAATTTTCTTACTTTCAATTCACGGTAAGGTAGTTTTAAAAAAATGCTTTTAACGTTTAAAATGCCAAAATTTGATATTCAAGAACTGCACTCATTTTAAGTTATTGGAAATTCATTTTTTCGACGAATAAATATTTTTTTGATTTCAAATATCAGTGAATATGACAGATTGGTGGTTTGATTGATTTTTCAATCAAACATTTCGCTACTAATTGGAAAGATTTAAATGTTTTATTGGATTCACTGCTGTTGATATAGTCAATCATTTTATGAAGTGGATTTAACAGACTAAAAAAGGGGCGTTCAATCAATTAGAAATAAAAGAAATCTGTATTTTCCAACTCATCTATAATTTAGTTAAAATGCTATCTGTCTTCATTATGAAAATTAATTGAAAAGTTCGGAGAAGGCTAATAAAATTTAAAGCATTTCTCGATTGTTTATTTAGTAAACATATCTGGTTTCATTTTACTTTTAAAAAAATTTAATCATGTAATAAAAAACTAGAAATCTTATAAAAATATGCAACTAACGTATTTATATGAATCTTTGAACTAGAATTAAAAATATTGTAACGGTGCCGGTGGATTTGACCTGCACCGTGTGTCTCCTATCTCTCTCTATCATCGGCGTGGACTCATGGCAGACCTATAGCGCATAATTCACATGCCTGATGCCTGCCTTTATGTTTTCAGCATCGCCACCGCAACGAGTAAGAAGAAGAAAGATAGAGAGAGGCAGTGGCATTGGTCGACAAGAGCGCATAGTAACAGGCGCTCTTGTAAGAGAGAAAGAGAGAGAGTGAGAGAAAGAGAGAGATAAGAGAGAAAGAAAAGAACGCGACTAGTGCAGGCAGGCGCGTGACACTAGCCGCACTTGGCGGTGCCGCGTGCTGCCGATTAGGCAAGTGAGTGGGGAGAGCGTGAGAAGCAGTCTCTCACGCACTCGGAAGCATACTCGCGGCGGGCAGTAGAAAGTGGCCATTAGCAGAGAGAGGTGTACGGACCCCCTGCAGTCAACTACAAAGAAAGATACGAGGAAACCGAGACGGCATCAGTATCGGCCCGGATCCTGCCTATCTTTCGCCGAGTTCTTCCGACCACAGATAGATTTGCCTGCAGTTAGACGCTATCACCATCTTCGGCGAGGCCCTGCATCGAAGTTCTTCAATCGTCAGGTCATTTTCCAATCTCTCTCTCTCTAATTCTCACTCTACGGCTACTCACGGCTTGTGCGCTGTGCCAGGCTCTCACGGGCCGGCACGGCTAGTTCGGTAATTAGCATAATTTGGATTGTATCGTGTCGGTAGCGAGATGGCAAGGCGCTAACGTGCCGGCCATCTCTTTTAGCGATCGGAGATTGTTAGCTTAGATAAATAAGGCGCGTGATAGAATGTCCGAACTGTTACGCTCAGGGTAGCGTGCTGTAATAAAGGGATTTACTAAGATAAGAGGAATGATTATTGCGTTCACCTTTCTCTTTACCTTGTCAGGAGCAATATACCGCCTCCCTTGCCTTCCCCCTTTTAAATACTTGGTAATAGCGATATATTCATCGGCGTTGTAAGCCGACTCTATTACAATATTAGGCAGCATTTGAATTTTAGGTGAACTCAATTCAAACTAATTATATTTATAAACATATCTAAACCACAGGTTTTTTTTAATAGAAAACAAAGCCTAAAAACCGCAAATTATTTATAATTTTATAAGATATAGAAAATGTTGGATATTTTCAGAATAAAAATTTTATTCGTAACGAAACACTAAAATTAAAGTTAACTCAAACAAGTCACTATTCGATTCAGTTTCTGAAGCGTATCATTGAACAAAAGGTTAAACAAATGATTATAATTTCAAAAATTTACGTTTTTTTTAATAATTGATTATTAGTTTTATACATAATAAGAGTAAATGAACAAATTTTTCCTCGAGTTGCTGCTTTTACAACAATTTGTGATCTAACTACTTTAAACTACCACTTTCCTCGTGTTGAAATGTATTGAGAAACGTTATAAAATATTTGTAAAATATGTATGTTTTCAGTTTAGCGAAAAATGGATTATATCATGAGTTAATCACAGCTTGAATTATTACCTTGTCGCTTTGCTCATGTTCACCAGCATATCATCTTTAAACCATGCAAATTTAAGATCTGAGCTGCCAATCGCCACGCAAGTCAAAATGAATTGATCGCCTAGCTGAATTTGTCGTTCATTCATATGATTGATTCTTAGAGTCTGGAGGAATGGTATTGACATTTAATATTTATTATTCATTTCAATTTTAACTGATATTGAAATTTAAGTTTAAAAGTCCAAGATTTATAACATGACATATTTGACAGCGCATAAAGTGAAAATTACTATTCGATTTTAACTGATGCTACACAAGCTCAATTAAACAAACAGAAACCAGTAATTATTTTATATCATTCATAATTTATCAAGTTAAAAAAAAGTTTTTAATGGATGCTTGTAAAAGAATCGGTAAAGAGAAACAATTAAAGTGCATACGGAATTAAAAGCAAAAGATAATGATTCAAGTTAAAGGGCACAGCAGCTGTAGAAGTTTTTGGAAAATATTCAAAGAAATAAGTAAATAAATTGCCACGAGTCTTTTTCTTATATAAGCGAAAAAGCGACTGAAAAGCGGAAAACGGAGATGCAAGTATTATCAACAAAGTTGTTTGATATCTCGCTTTTTGGTGGAAAAAGGGCAAAAACTGGCGCTACCAGTTTTATTCAAATTAATTTAATCAGTCTGTTGAAAGAAGTTTGAGAAAAGTATATCTCAAGCTACATTTATACTTCTGATTTAATTATTGCAAACTACAAGAATAAAAAAAAAGAGAAAGAAAAAGAAATAAAAACTAAAACAAAACAAAAACAATGAGAGCTTGCGTAAATGGAAGTAAGGAAACGTGGAATAAAAGAAACTTAATCAAGCTCCGCGCTACTATATAGGTACATGTATAATGTGCTCTCGCGCGTGATCTTGTACGAATATGTAAAGTTAACCTTCCTCTCTTTCTCTTTCTATGGCACACGTATCAGCCGGAAATTTCCTTTCTCTGAATTTGCGCGTGTGTCGAATTTGCTAGCAACTCAAAAACTGAAAGGAAGAAAAAGAAAAGAAAAAGATTACCTGCAGTCGAAGAGCTGGCTTTTGCTGAAAGGTAAAATGCGACGGTTCAAGAAAAAATTCGCCAAGTCGTCGTCGTTGTACCAGTCGATCGAGGGCGCTACGGATTTTGTCGCCATCTCTTGAATCACCGAAAAAGTGGAAGTTCACCTCGAGGGCAGCGCTGTGGGAAAATAAAAGATGGAATGGAGAGTGAAAGACACCAGTGCTGGAAAGTCGGTCCGAGAGGCATAAAAAATTCAAGCCGAAGGCCTACGTAACTTGGCCACGCTCTCGGCAAAGTTTCAAATGCAAGCTGAGTAGTTTGGCTCTCATAAACGCGTATCACTTTGTTAATTGTTCGGTTTGGCCCACCCTCTCCCTTCTTTATATCGCCATCGGTAAACTGAAAGAAGTGCCAAGTTATCCCAAAAATTAAGACAATTATCGTTTCTTGTAATTTCGTACCGAGCTCTACTACAGTGGCGTTTTACTCTAATTATTCGATGAAAAATGATTATTTTCTACAAAACATATGAAAAAACTACTTAAGATAACGCTCAAAATGGAAAGAATGACGTATACATTTTTTTGCTATATCGGTTTTGTTCCAAATAATAATTTCTTTAAAAACAGTTTGTACAATAACTTGAATATAATAAATTAAATGGATATATTATGCGATGAGAGATTTGCAGAATTATCGTTATTTATTTAGAATCTTCGTGATGTTTATATTTTACCGTATTTATTCATGTTTAAAACGCCTCCATATGTCAGATGCACTACTAATTTGCAACGAACAGTGAACAAACAATATGTATAAAACGAGTCCCGGAGATAATACCCTCCTCGATTTTTCAATACAGGAAAATTGATTTTTGATACGTTGTATATGTACAAGTCAATTGGTACAGACAATTATACATTTGTCGTGATTGTATGAGATGAAAATAAATGATATTTTATTTTTAATAAATTTCTGTTCATTGTATCCATTTATTCAGTTTTACCTAATGTATTAAAAGAAAATCTTTACTTTCAGCAATTAGTCAATACTGGATGTAAAAAGAGAGCTAGCTGAGATAATTTGGTAACATTGACAATCTAAACACTTCTTAAAAACTAGAAAACTTTGTCCTTATGTGTTTTTACTCACGTTATACTCAAAATTTTCATATCCTCCATCGTCGTGATCTTAGAATCCCATATATACTTGGATAACTGCAACAAAAATGTATAATTATAAAATATTACAATATAATTCTCAAAATGTAGTTTATACGTAAATTCGTCATCTTAGACTATTTAAAATATGTATTGAAAGAATGTACTTTGCTCTAAAAATGTATACAACCGAATTCCTCGAATAAATCATGTCAGTGTTAAAAGGCAGGATTTGACAATTATCCTCTAAAGAAAAGAAGTGAATTGATGTACCTATTTGGACTAGATATTTAGGATTATATCAAAATCTTTTTGGCTCGGTTTTAATCTTTATTACATGTTTTCGGTCATACAAACTTTGAAGATACTCTTCAAAAATTTTTGAACGGTGAAACATTATTGTTGCCAGTAGTCAGAGTAAAAGTTGCATATACAAAATATTTCTATTGAAAAATAAGTGTTCAACGGACCGAATTATTTGAGAAATATTTATTAAAATGTTATGCAACGCGCATAAAGTTTACTAAGTAAAAAAATAAAAAAGAACACCCAATCGCAAGCTGACCCATTGCGAACAGTCTACGTCTTTCAGCTCAAGTATACCATGAAAATGAGCATTAGGGATGCTGGAAAAACTCATTAAAAATTGATCCAGAGTTTCGATCACGTGCAATATATTTGCAACTTGTATTATTGGCAAGTTTGTCAAGCTGTCTTCGTAACATATACAGCTCGCAAGCGTATTTGTTTGGGTGGAAAGTTATTCTCTGTCTCGCTATCGTGTAAGCATGAAGAAAAGTGACATTGAGCCGCAAGATTGCGAAGTATCGCGAGTACACAGTTCTCGAGTGCGACGCGCGTCTCGTGATATTAAACTAGAAACCGATTGGCAAATACGTAGAAGCAGCAATCCGAATAATCGATCTAATCAATTTTGGCAGAGTAAGAGAAAGAAGACTCCTTACAAGCTTTATTAGCAACCCTCTTCGTCGTTTATTGAGCTTCGATCGCTCCCGTGGATTGCGCTAGGCATACACCGACTCATCATCTGTCTCATCAATCCATAATTCCTTCGACGTTTCAACTATGCCCTTCCAAGTGCTTGACGTTTGCTATACGGAGTTTCGATCTAGAATACATATGGCTAGCCCTTGCAATGCTCCTTAACCTGCGTCGGAAGGCAAGAACTATCCTTGAGTCATGAAACACTAATCTATGGGTCGTCGTCATCGTCGTCGTCGTTTTGCAGATTGTTAGCTTCAAGTCATTTGTTTGAAATACTATTACGCATGCGCTAGCAAATTTAACTACGGAAGGTTATGAAGGTGTACGTTGCACTCGCACCAAAATTATTCGGCTGTATAAAGGATTTCGCCTGTAAATCAAGTTACTCTGCTGCGAGTGTAATTCGTTTCTCTAATAATAACTGATTTTGCCGGACTTGACCATGAAACATTTTAGAATAGCTCGAAAGTTTCTAATAATACATATTCAAATGCCTGATATCCGTTAATGTGTGAATGATGTAATAAGGTGACTTAAATTTGGTTTGTATGTAGCTGAACGCCAGAACTGGAACTATAAATTGATCGCCAAATGAGAATGCCGATATATAGGTATATATCAATCCGTCTACGCCGATGCGCTAATTAACTAACTAATTGAATTTTAATGAACTTATCGAAAACGTCGGGATGAATTATTTGCTCACGTAGTGAAGTTGTTGCTGCGCGAACGAAATTGAAATGTCTGCAGGTTACGTTGAGCGTCGGCGTCATTTAATTAACGATAAAACGGGAAATTGAAAGGCTAAGAAGAAAAAACAAAGCAAAAGACAGTTGAGAAGTAGGGCGCGCGGCGCCGACTTATCGCGTAGTAGAGTGCTTCGCCACTTTAAAGTTTTATTTTCCAAGCCGCTCAGTGACAGGCACAGAGGAACGGTTGCAAATCGCGTACGGAAAGCAAGTAGATTACGGGAGCGATCTTAATTTTAGCCGTTAACACTTGTCTTTGAACGCGAACAGCTTTCTTTTCTTATTCGCGCGACCGAGAGCCTTTTAGCAGTTACCGTAAAGCTTCGTCTTATGTTTTTGCGTGTTTTCTTTTTTGTTTGCCGTGTAGAACTTGGAGTATGCGGTGTGTTGCGAGCTGGCGTGGTTTATTTCCTACTGCAACTGAGTAAACACTAACGTGCCTTCGCTCGCGAACGAGGCAAAAAACTACGAACAAGTACACTATTACACCGCCACTACTCAAAGGACGCGTGTCTGAGTGTACGTACCTCTTTGATACTCCCTAGCTCTATTGGTCTCTTTTTAGTGACTTGGTGGTGGCGGCCAGGTGGCGGCAATATAAGGCTCGAATGTCGTGTGGCTTCAAATGGCCTCCCCACCGATGCGACTACATGTACTATCTTGCACGGGGAAGACGCGTATGACGCTGAACGCGGGCGGAGCTTTTGTTTGGATATTTCGCGCGATAAGTGCTACCGTCTGGCTTGCCTGTGTGTGGAATTCGCTATAATGTCTCGGGCACGCGGCGGAGCGAGAGATTGGAAGTAAAAGCGCGCTTCGTGCTCAATTCGTGCTTCACATAGATAGTCTGCTTACGTACAGCTCCCCCTTTTTTCTTGAATTTTTTTCTGCGAGCATACCTTCCCTTGGCATTTTATCTTGCCAAAATCTTACAATGTTTAGCCTCTTTTGCCCATATTTAATATAATATCAATATTTTTTTCGCAATGTGTTATTTTCCCTTTTTCAGCTCTTCCTGTAATCATTCCTATATACGCGACTGAACTATTGGTCGATGGCAATTTTCGTCTATAGATGACAACATCAACATCAAAGAGCGCTTTCATACGTTTTGTGCCCTTTTTTCGAAATGCAAAACTACTCTCTAAGTTTTGGAGATATAGCGTTCTCTCATACTCTCTATACGAAGATATCAAAAGCTATATTGGCGTGTCTGTTGACATCATTTTAAGCTTGCGAAGCCTGCTTTTCATAGTTGGATAACTTGCTGTAACATTACTGCTTGCACTAGGCTATGTTACCTCATTGAAAATTATAAATAAACAGTGAGCTATCTCGGTCAGTTTTTACCTAAATTTACTGTATGTAAACGTCGACGATACTCTTCATTTTATTTAGTACGCTTCAGTTTTGAAGAATCCTAGTGAGTATGTGTGTACGCATGCGTCAGTGTGCATATGCGTATGTTCATAATATATTACATCCTTTCAACAGACTTTGCAATATTGAACATGATTTGGGTCATGGTCGTGAGAACATGGTCTTGGGATAACCCTGGGATAAAATAAAGATTTCGAGAAGCTGTTGCCAACGAACTCAGCGGTAGATAGGTAAAGTTGCTCTTTAACCAGATAAGAAACACGGAACATCCATGCGGCCACGTGATCGGTAAAAGCATTAATCCAGCATTGCCTTCGAGTTGGATTTTCAAAACTTTCCATTATCTTTTCCCATTGAATTCCACCATTTTCGTTTGTCATTGATCCCGCGATAGTGGAGAGTCCATAATAATATTGTATGAAATACTCCGTCGGAAGGACTTTCTTCGAGAGGGAGAGAAAATGGTTGAAATTTGCAGCGGAGTGTGATGCATTATTTCAAGTCGAAAAAGTCGTTGGGATCAACACAACAGACTGGATGCTTTTCAATTCGTAAAAACGTCAATACCATCGAATTGATAGAATTTAGCAAAAAAAATGTCTACGCGTAATCTATTGGACAGCACTCTATCACGGTCAGTATTTATTATTATTTTTTCAAACTCACAATTCAAACGATTGAAAAAATAATTACTTCACGATAAGTTTTCTCGTCCTATCTTTCGAACCCAGCAAATTTTATTCAAGAAAGCTAGGAAAAATATGAAATAAATCATTAGTTTCAAGAAAATTTGTAGTCCTTGTTCAGCTGAAATTCCTAATTGCTTGGTTGCGTTGGCATTATAGTCGTCGTCAGACAAATTGGTACCCTCATGAGTGCGTGCGTGTCCTTATAAATGACGTACTTTGAGCCAGTTAAGGTGTTTGGGAAAGGTGCAAACTAGGCGTATGAGAAGCTGTTTAACCTATCTCTTTTTTTTTCGCGTCTGCAATTGCACTCACGCGCTCACATGCAAGCGCGTACCCAATGCCCTGGAAAATCGCATGCGTGTTGCGCGGCCTTCCATTTCGCTTGTTATACATGCGGCGCACCTCTCTCGTGCAAAAAAAAAGCTGAAAGACAGCCAACGAAAAAAATGTTTCTCTCATTCTTTATTCTCGCTTATTCGACGCGTAGCGTGGATTCATAGTGAGAGCAGATTTTTGCTCGGTCTTTTTAAGCCTCCCATTTGGCAGAGAAAGCTTGCACGAGAGACAGAATACCCACAGGGGGAATCTCGCTGCTCTTTTATACTCAATTTTAATTACGCTAAATGCAACACCTTTTTTTCTCTCTCCTCGTTCTGTCAGCTCGCGGAATTTCGCTGATTTTTCTTCAATATGCAGAGCAAGTCATGCGAACCACGTGCACGCTTATCTTGAAAAAACTCAGCTCAATACAATCTGTTAGCTGCCAGATAGCCGAGAGCAATTGTAATTATCGTCGTAACTGCGTAACTGTCTCTTGAGAGGGAATCTCATTGAATGCATTTTGCGTATTATTCAATATCTATCGCAGCTGTTGAATTATGCGGGAACGCGGGAACGGCGATGTATCTTTATCCTCAGGAGAAATGTTATTTTCGTGACAAGCAATGACTTTGTTGAATCTACGTGAACCGGTGGAGTATGTGCACCAGCTAAAAATGTCACTGTGGCTAATTATATTTTTTATTGCGCACTGTAAGTTCCGATTATCATCTCCGTCGTGCAAACTTATCGAGAAATTTTGATAATGAAAAGCAAGTAGGCCGTCGATATAGATAAGTGCATCATTCATACTGCAATCAACACTCCCTCATTAAAACTGGTGCGACAACCATGATCAAAAGACGTAAGCGCGGTTAAAAGGTGCCGTCGACACAGCAATGAGCGCGCCTGCGAC